GCTAATCGAATAAACTAAATAATTTGTAGCACTGTAGTATATATATATATCTCTCTCTCTATTTATATCTTTACGTGATTTGCAGCTATGGAATTTACAGAGTGTAACTTATCCGACCCTCCCCCAATTGTTGATAGTAACGGCATAGATATCGCCACACTGGACAACACGCTAATATCCCTACGCAACCACGTTACTAAGCAAGAACGGTTTCTAGCCAAGCGATTGGTTGTTCAGAAACTTCTGTATCGATGCACCCGGTTCTTGGTATTCTTGCTGAACACGTGTGCCGCAGCAGCAATGTTTATTGGTACTAATAATAACTACTCCATGAACACCAAGAATACCATCATGGTGTGTAGCGCCATTTTAACTCTGTGCAGCAGTATCCTATCGGGTATGGACTCGAGCTTTGGGCTTGATGGACGTATCACAACGTTCCGTCACATGCTTGATTGGTATTCTCATGTTAAACAGGATATTACAGGAGTAATTGGCAGTCACATGACCCGGTCTCAGACAATACAGACGCGTGAACTATTGGAACATTATCAGACACAGCTTAAACTAATTAACCAAATGAGTAGTCGTACTTAGGGTGTTGCTTCATTCTCATCTACGATAAATTTTATGGCATATAGTTATAGCGTATAGAAACGTAGAACATTAACCAAACGTGCACATCATGCAGCTCCCTAAACCCCCCACCAGTAGACAAGGCATGAGTAATAAAGAAGAGCAATGGAAGACGCAATTACAGGACAGTGGAGAATATAATGGTAATCGACGCACTCCAAACCGAGGACTGGTAAACGTTGCGCGACCAACCACAGCTAGTCACAAGTCGTCATACGATTTCAAGAACATTAAGCCCAACACACAAGGTCGACGGTAAAACGTATGATTTCTGTTGTATACCTTTTTCTTTTGTCATATAAGTTGGACGCATCATGATATTATATCCATAATATTTACAAACTCACAAATCAAAACCAAAATACAAGCTACAACAATGGATCAGAACAGCGGGATTAATGACCTGTGTGAGATGTACTACAATCCGAGAACTACAACGTATGACACTCTCTTGTACAAGCTTATATACAAGCTGCGTGAACATAAGATACATCCTCGCAGAATACGGTGTGCAACACGTCAGTTTCTCATATCCAAGTGGGCCCAGTCGTTGTGGGATAAAGGACTACGTGGCCCAACCAGTATTGCCACGGAGATAAGAGTGCTACACACACTTCCTGGGGATATAAAGTTCGATACACTTGTAAAGGACGTGTCCCATTGGCGCAGTACACGCGGACCTCCTACCCATAGTTTGCGTCGACAGCGTGCCCCTATTAGACAGTATACAGAAACAAACCCTGTAACCCAGGTAACACGTGTACGGAACTTGTACGATGCACCTAACCAGATTTATGGACACTCCAAGCAGCACGGACCGGGGGGACGGGCACCTGGGCGTTTTATTCTCGACACTGTTACAGTGTTCAAGGGGGGTCTTGAAAAGAATATGGACCCAGCCAAGATATTTATGGTGCACATGTGTGTGGATAGCATGACGAGCATGGTCTACATAGCCCCGGTGTACCAGACCAGTGTTGACGAGGCCAACTTGGCGTTTGCCAGTATCCTGAAGAATGATATCTTCAAGTATGAGGAAACACGTGATATTCCCGCAGAGTATAGGATCAACTCTGTCACTACTGACAACGGTCCGGAATTCACCGCGCGTTTCGATTCGACCAATTACTATGGGTTTGATCACACTTATTCTGATCCCTACGATAAGACCTTTACATTTTTACTGGACTCGGTCGTCTCGGTACTTCAACAGTCTATCCGGCAGTCGCATGCTCAGTACAGTGTCAACTTCCCTGACAAGATTGTCGGCAGTAAAGGGCTCACGTACCCCGCGGTGCAAGCTATAATACAACGTATTAATAGAACACCAAAACCCTTTCTTCGGAAGGCGCTAGGTCGTGATGCTTCACCTATGGATGTAACCAATCAGGATTTTAAAACCATAGCAACATACATCAGCTCGCTGAAGCAGATGCATCACGCAGTTAAAAACAAGGATACTGAGTGGACGGTGGCTCTTGATAACGGGACACGCATATTGCGGGGAACTTGGGAGTACCGGAATTGGGAATATGACTGCACATACGAGATAGTGCTCAGACCGTCTGATGATAGGGAGGGAATTGATTGGTACGATTTACCCGGACTCTATCATAATAACCAGCAGCTGAGCATTAAGAGACGTGAGAAGCAATTTTACGAAGACTTCCGCATGCCGAAGAACTTGGTGCTTGTGCACATGTACAAATCAAATACGAGTACAGGGCTGGGCGGACGTCAGGGCGGGTCCATACAGCTAGACACGAGCCGTGTGTTTGTTGTCCGAGGTACAAGCGGGGGCAGTTTACAACTCCAAAGAGTGCTCCTTGACCCAAACACTGGCGAGCCGGCCTTTGAGCAGCTTGGTGTTGGGGATACGACTCGTGATCCTGACTTTCCGTATGCAGTTATCTCCGAAAACGGGTACTTGGAGTGTCGACTTTACCAGTGCCGTGTAGTCTACTCACGCAGGTATCTTACTATGTACAATGGCAGACACGTTATAGAACCCGTACGCCCAACACAAGTCAACTCTATC